GAACCTTGTCCTCACCGTCAGGAACCTTGTCCTCGCCGCCAGGAACCTTGTCCTCGCCGCCAGGAACCTTGTCCTCACCGCCAGGAACCTTGTCCTCACCGTCAGGAACCTTGTCCTCAGCTCCAGGAACCTTGTCCTCACCGCCTGGAACCTTGTCCTCAGTGCCAGGAACCTTGTCCTGAGTGCCAGGAACCTTGTCCTGAGTGTCAGGAACCTTGTCCTCACCGCCAGGAACCTTGTCCTCGTCTCGCCAGGAACCTTGTCCTCGCCACCAGGAACCTTGTCCTCGCCGCCAGGAACCTTGTCCTCACCGTCAGGAACCTTGTCCTCAGCTCCAGGAACCTTGTCCTCACCGCCTGGAACCTTGTCCTCAGTGCCAGGAACCTTGTCCTCACCGCCAGGAACCTTGTCTTCACCGTCAGGAACCTTGTCCTCACCGTCAGGAACCTTGTCCTCAGCGCCAGGAACCTTGTCCTCACCGCCTGGAACCTTGTCCTCAGTGTCAGGAACCTTGTCCTGACCGCCAGGAACCTTGTCCTCAGCGCCAGGAACCTTGTCCTCAGCGCCAGGAACCTTGTCCTCAGCGCCAGGAACCTTGTCCTCAGCGCCAGGAACCTTGTCCTCACCGCCAGGAACCTTGTCCTCACCGTCAGGAACCTTGTCCTCAGCTCAGGAACCTTGTCCTCACCGTCAGGAACCTTGTCCTCACCGCCAGGAACCTTGTCCTCACCGCCAGGAACCTTGTCCTCACCGTCAGGAACCTTGTCCTCACCGCCAGGAACCTTGTCCTCAGCGTCAGGAACCTTGTCCTCAGCGTCAGGAACCTTGTCCTCAGCGTCAGGAACCTTGTCCTCAGCGTCAGGAACCTCGCGAAAGGCCTCCGAAGTTTTTACTCTTGTGCAATCGAGTGAGATCATATAAATTTGATTATCGCGTATCATGTTTATTATAATAATCACTATAATAATCACAGTTCACGAAACAGGCATCCTTAATTCTCATTTCACGGAGCATTTTTATCAACAATCACGCCTCACGGCTGTAGAAGAAATCACATTTCACGACACTAAAATCAAGCATTTCACACGAACAAATATTCACGGCTCACGAAAATACCCTTTCCCACCCTCAATAAATTTCATAAAAACACATTTACATTGCGAATTGTCGGTAAAAATTCATCGATTTATTAATTATGAAATTATTACTTGTAGTTTCTTCCGCATTTGATAAAGTCTACAAAGAGATTTTTAATTAAAACAATAAAAAGACAATGAAATAGTTCATTATGCTATATTTCGTACAAATGTATTGTACAATTGTCCTTTGGGGATTCGAATTTGACCAATAGGCAGTGCGTATTTTCAGCCAGTCATGTGAATGTGCCAATCAAATCATAGGAATTCAACTAATTTCCATAGTCTCGTCCAATAGGAATTGGCCATTATCTATCATGTGACCATTTTCAACTATGCCACGAAATTCAAGCTTCCGGGCATTAATTCCATTTTGGGGCGTCGAGTAGAGCGAAGTAAAATCGCTAAATTCGTGCACGATTTTTAAAGCAAAATTAAACAAGAAATGTTGAATTCTCGACGCCAAGTAAAACTCAAAGGTATGTAATGTTTGTTTTATGTGAAGTTATCGTATTTTGGCGAGTAAAAGTGTTTGAAAATACTTGTTGAAGTTGAGGACCGCAAAGCGGCTTCGGCGTAAATATCCATGTCGTATTAAATTTTCGTCTTGTCCTGGCATAAAGTCGATGAAGTTAGCATCGCTTTTCGTTGTTTTTAGTTTAAAGTAGTAGAAGTACATATCCATAAAGGATTCAGTGTGTTTTGTAGCTAAATTTTGTTTAAAATTTGTCATTTCAGTGAAAATTCTCATCCTCGTGGGATGGACGAAGTCAAGTAAAATCACATTCTTGCCTGAACTTTGGAATCAATATTAAACCAAAATTAAAGAAGAAATGTTGAATTCTTGACGCCAAGTGAAACTTAAAGGTATGTAATGTTTGTTTATGTGAAATTATCGTATTTTGGCGAGTAAAAGTGTTCAAAAATTCTTGTTGAAGTTGTGGCCGTAAGCCGGCTCGGCCTATTAATTTGTCGCCGCATTCGATTTTTGTCTTGTTAGTTGTCCTTGTATAAAGTTGCTGAATTTTAGTATTGCCTTTCATTATCTTTAGTTTAAAATAGTAGAAGAATATATCCATAAAGTATTCGGTGTGTTTTGCAGCTAAATTTTCTTTAAAATTAATCATTTTAGTGAATATTCTCAGCCACGTGAGATGGACGAAGTCAGTAAAATCACATTCTTGCCTGAACTTTGGAATCAAAATTAAACCAAAATTAAAGAAGAAATGTTGAAGTCTCAACGCCAAGTGAAACACAAAGGTATAATAATGTTTGTTTTATGTGAAATTAAGGAATTTTGGCGAGTAAAAGTGTTCAAAAATTCTTGTTGAAGTTGTGGACCGCAAGCCGGCTTCGGCCTAAATATGTCGCATTAGATTTTCGTCTTGTTCTGGCATAAACTCGCTGAATTTAGCATTGCTTTTTTGTTATCTTTAGTTTAAAATAGTAGAAGAACATATCCATAAAGTACTAAGTGTGTTTTGTAGCTAAATTTAATTTAAAATTTGTCATTTTAGTGAAAATTCTCATCCACGTGGGATAGGCGAAGTCAATTAAAATCACATTCTTCCCTGAACTTTGGAATCAAAATTAAACCAAAATTAAAGAGGACATGTTGAATTCTCAACGCCAAGTGAAACTCAAAGGTATGTAATGTTTCTTTTATATGAAATTATCGTATTTTGGCGAGTAAAAGTGTTCAAAATTTTTTGTTCAAATTGAGGATCGCAAGCCGGCTTGGGCGTATTAATAAAATATGTCGCATTAAATTTTTGTCCCGTCCTGGCATAAACTCGCTGAATTTAGCATTGCTTTTCGTTATCTTTAGTTTAAAATAGTAGAAGAACATATCCATAAAGTATTCAGTGTGTTTTGTAGCTAAATTTAATTTAATATTTGTCATTTTAGTGAAAATTCTCATCCACGTGGGATTAGCGAAGTCAAGTATAATCACGCTGTTGCGTGAATTTTGGAATCAAAATTTAACCGAAATTAAAGAAATGTTGGAGTCTTGACTTCAAGAGAAACTCAAAGACTGAATTGAGGTATGTATTTTTTGTCTTTATGTAAAAAGTTCGTATTTGTGAGTAAAAATATTTGAAAATTTTTGTCGACGTCGCTTTGGCGTGGTGTCCGGATTCGACTGTCGTCCACTTGCCAGGCAATAAATAGGCAGATTTTTCTCCGGGTAATCCGGTCTCCCTTCTTCGCCAAAATTAAGCACTATTAAAGCCTTAGTTGTCGAGCACATGTACGTAACTTCGATATTACGGCTGGGGTGTGTGAGCTCGTTTTACCCGACCAAAGGGCGTGGCTGAATCGTGCCCGACAGACATTTCATCATTTTATCATTTTTGCTAATTAATATTTCTTTTCCCAAAATTGTGGACGTGTGTGTGTGGAGGGAAGAAAATTTTTTCGGACATATCATTTTTCTCTACGGACATACCATTTTTCGGACATACCATTTTCGAACTAATGTACCGTAATTTGTACAATTTTTCAGTAATATTTTCGGGGTCGCAATCCCCCCCAATCCCCCAGTAGTTACAGCGAGGACGAGAGCACATGCCCATGAGAGTTGGCATATGCAGTCATGCGACCTTAGCTAGGTTTTTAATACCTCAACACTATCATGCATGTATAGTATATAATTCTATATAATTAAGTTAAAACATTGTGAGAACACTGACTCGTTAAACCTTTATTTTGTTAATAACCTGGTCTAAATTTGGGGTGCACGAAAAAAATTTAATATAAACACAAATTTGATTTGTATTAATGAATTTCTAATTCTTTTTTTAGAATGGATCCAGATGAAAATGTGCGTCGTTGGAAAACCCAATACACCCCATTACTGCGGTAGGCAGTCAAGCTTTTATAACCTACACAATTTTATTTTGATTGCCCGTATTTTTGTATTTTATTTTCATATCTATCATGACCCATGATTTAAGTTTGGAAAGAGTTGAGATCCCCACTCGACTGCATGCCTTTCCTGATATTCTCAGACTCTGTCTGCATGGTACTATTTTACCACTAAGAACTGTATTTGAAGCAGAAATACAATAGAGCCGATCTATATGTTCATGGCTCATAAGTTTATACTCGTGATCTCCCTCGACGAGCTTCAGCTCTTGGAGAAAATTTTTCCAAATCAGTTTAAATGAAAAAAATTAAGTACTCGTGTTTATGTGATTTATGCTTTGTTGGAGGAAACTATATATTACTAGTGTTGTAGCCAGCCCATAATGTTCACATAGCTCATGATTTTATACTTTTATTTTGTATGCTATATTATGCTTAATTAATTGAAATTGGATGAAACTATTATGAAATTTATACAGCCCAAATATAATGTTCATAGCTTATGAGTTTATACTCTCATTTTATATGCTATATTATGCTCAATTAATTGAAATTGGATGAAGTTATTATGGAATTTATACAGCCCAAATATGTTTGTATCTTATGAGTTTATACTCTTATTTTATATGCTATATTATGCTCAATTAATTGAAATTGGATGAAGCTATTATGGAATTTATGCAACCCAAATATAATGTTAATGGCTGCTGAGTTAACGTTTGATATGCTATGTATGAAAAAATAGGTGTACACTGCGTACATGTGTCCAGCCTGCGCGCAAAATATTCAAATGACGCAACTAGTAGAACGAAAAGCTATTATAAATCTCAGACATACATGCAGGGTAGTGGCATTGCAACTTTATTATTTTTCCAAGGTCTCTGTGAGACGTTCAGTTATTCAGCATGAACAAACAGTGCGTGTAAAAAGAAGGCGCCACTTTTTGGGTGTACTGTTTGTCCGTGCTGTATGGCTGGACGTGTTTCAGGTATCTTGGGATATCTAATAACGTTGCTGTTTAACAATGCTGTTTCTATAAAGAACAGCTCGCTATTGCTATATGCCTTAGCCTAAAAAGTCTTTTTTCTATTAATATTTTCAATGCTGTTTCTATAAAGAACAGCTCGCTATTGCTATATGCCTTAGCCTAAAAAGTCTTTTTTCTATTAAAATATTTTCAGTGCTGTTTCTATAAAGGACAGCTTGCTTTTGCTATATGCCTTAGCTTAAAAAGTCTTTTTTTCTATTTAAAATATTTTCAATGCTGTTTCTATAAAGGACAGCTTGCTATTGCTATATGCCTTAGCCTAAAAATTCTTTTTTTCTATTTAAAATATTTTCATTGTTATTTCTATAAAGGACAGCTTGCTATTGCTATATGCTTTAGCTTAAAAAGTCTTTTTTTCTATTTAAAATATTTTTAATGCTGTTTCTATAAGGGCTGCTTGCTATTGCTATATGCCTTAGCCTAAAAATTATTTTTTCTATTTAAAATATTTTTAATGCTGTTTCTATAAGGGCAGCTTGCTATTGCTATATGCCTTAGCCTAAAAATTATTTTTTCTATTTAAAATATTTTCAGTGCTGTTTCTATAAGGGCAGCTTGCTATTGCTATATGCCTTAGCCTAAAAATTATTTTTTCTATTTAAAATATTTTTAATGCTGTTTCTATAAGGGCAGCTTGCTATTGCTATATGCCTTAGCCTAAAAATTCTTTTTTCTATTTAAAATATTTTTAATGCTGTTTCTATAAGGGCAGCTTGCTATTGCTATATGCCTTAGCCTAAAAATTATTTTTGCTATTTAAAATATTTTTAATGCTGTTTCTATAAGGGCAGCTTGCTATTGCTATAAGCGTTAGCCTAAAAATTATTTTTGCTATTTAAAATATTTTTAATGCTGTTTCTATAAGGGCAGCTTGCTATTGCTATAAGCGTTAGCCTAAAAATTTTTTTTCTATTAAAAAAATTTTGGTCGGCTATTGCTATCACTATATGTTTTAGCTGTGAAAGTTAATTTACGGTTAAGATGTCATTTCTATAAGGATAAAATTACACACTACACTGCAATGTTGTTCATTGCTGTTTCTATAAAGAGCAGCGTTTGCTTTTGCTATATGCTTTTTGCTAAGATGTCATTTCTACAAGGGTGACATACGGAAACTGTACTGCAATATTGATTGGTTGATTAACACTTGTGTCACCTCGTATTGTAACGCGCTTTTGATTGGTTAGACATTGTCGGTTAAATACAAAGAGCAGCTTGCAGCCTCAAAGGCTTTTTTCCATCCAAATATTTCAGTGCTGTTTCTATAAAGGCAGCGTGCTGTTGCTATATGTCTTAGCCTAAAATTTAACACTTGTGTCACCTCGTATTGTAACGCGCTTTTGATTGGTTAGACATTGTCGGTTAAATACAAAGAGCAGCTTGCAGCCTCAAAGGCTTTTTTCCATCCAAATATTTCAGTGCTGTTTCTATAAAGGCAGCGTGCTGTTGCTATATGCCTTAGCCAAAAAGTCGATCTTTTCTTCTATTTAAAACCTTTTCAGTGCTGTGTCTGTATAAGAGGCAGCGTGCTGTTGCTATATGTCTTAGCCTAAAATTCCTTTTTTCTATCCAAATATTTTCAGTGCTGTTTCTATAAAGGGCAGCTATGCCTTAGCCAGAAAGTCTTTTTTCTACCAAATATTTTCAGTGCTGTTTCTATAAAGGTCAGCTATTGTTGTATGCCTTAGTCTAAGAGTCTTTTTTTTCTACCAAATATTTTCAATGCTGTTTCTATAAAGGGCAGCGTGCTGTTGCTATATGCCTTAGCATAAAAGTCTATTTTCCATCCAAATATTTTCAGTGCTGTTTCTATAAAGGACAGCTTGCTATTGCTATATGCCTTAGCCTAAAGTCCTTTTTTCCATCCAAATATTTTCAGTGCTGTTTCTATAAAGGACAGCTTGCTATTGCTATATGCCTTAGCATAAAAGTCTTTATTTCCATCCAAATATTTTCAGTGCTGTTTCTATAAGGGCAGCGTGCTATTGCTATATGCCTTAGCCTAAAAGTTTTTTTCCATCCAGATATTTTCAGCTGTTTCTATAAGGGCAGCGTGCTATTGCTATATGCCTTGGCCTGAAAGTCTTTTTTCCATCCAGATATTTTCAATGCTGTTTCTATAAGGGCAGCGTGCTATTTTTTGACTTTTTTTCATCCAAGCATTTTCAGTGCTGTTTCTATAAAGGGCAGCTTGCTATTGCTATATGCCCTAGCATAAAAGTCTTTTTTTCTGTCCAAATATTTTCAGTGCTGTTTCTATAAGGGACAGCTTGCTACTGCTATATGCCCTAGCCTAATAGTCCTTTTTTCCATCCAACTATTTTCAGGCTATAAAGGAAGGCTACTGCTATCACTAGCTATATGTTTCCGCTAAAAAATAAACTGCATGCATGTTTATTGTTAATATGTCAGTTACATTTGTGTTAGAATGGTGCCTTGGAAATGGGGTTTCACACTAGGATTTGCACATTTTAGTATTTCAAGCGCATTAGGTCTCTTAGGTTCTAGTTTAAGGCCAATATGAGCGAGTGAGATAAACTCGAGTAGCTAGGTAAGGCATCAAGCGTGAAATCCACGCACCAGGCCCCTCAGCATCGAACCCCAAACCTTTTTTCAACACTAAATATGAAATTACCCCACCTTACCACATCGTTGAAGAATAATGGTGGATATCTTGGGCAAATGTGCATTCTCATGGTGGATATATTGGGCAAATGTGCAATATCATGAGGGATATCTTGGGCAAATGTGCATTATTAAAGATATATTGGTACTATTAATAACCTCGTACGTGGAATTGTAGGGTAATCATACATCGGTGTGTGATTGCTCGATACTGAAGAAAGAAGACGTCGTAAGGTTTGTGGATTTTGATAAATACGGGGGTGGGGCCCTGCGGTTAACATAAAAGAATGGTGACTAGGCGGCTACAATATATGGTGAATGTTAACAATATGGCGGATTATTACAATATGGCGACAGCAATTTGTAACAATATGGCGACAGCAATTAAGCGCAGCAAAAATATTGGTTCAAAAGCGAGATTTGAGCAAAAAATCCAGTCGTTAAATTGAAAATCCGGTCATTCGCAAAAATCCGGCAAAAATACATTAGCAACAATTGCGGTATGCAGATCTACTTAAAACTACATGCTAAGCACATATCAAAATCAGGCTTGACTTAGGAGTTTTATATGGGGGCCCCAGATAGTGTAATAATGCATATACTGCGAAACATGATATTGGATAAACGATATTATATATACACTATATTTTTGATAACGAAACATGCTTATTTATAAAATCAAGTCAAATTGATAAAAATCTAATATTTTGGACATGACTTTAGGAATTTTATTTTTTAAATTTATTTTATTATTTTCTATAAATGGGGGCCCCAAATAGTTCGAGGATCGGAATAGTTGATAACATATAAGATAGTTATTTTGTGTATAGTAGGTAGGCTAATAACGTTTCTGTAATATATAATACATTCATGTATTATATAATGGTATAAAACATTGTAAAATAGATTATAATTAATATATTCTTGTGAAAATATGTTCTTATAAATTATAATAAGACTGTAATGCAAAATTCTGAAATTTGTATCATATACATATGATAAAATGTTTCATTCTGTCCTATATTGCAATACGTTGTATACATACGTTGTATAAATATTCTTGTTATATAATTGTATAAATATTCTTGTGCAATACGTTGTAAATATATTTATGTAAACCTAATGAAACCAGCATTTTGTAATATCTGAAGAATGACGAGAGCATTTTTGTAATATATTCTAAATAAAATTTTG